CACAAGGGAGATCAAGTACCGCAGCAAAGTAACATCTACATTCATCCAGCAGAAATAGTCCAATGTGTGCAGATAACCAAACATTCAACTACATTTGTACATGCCCAAGAGAAAGTAAAGAAAAAAAATCTCCCGGACACTAAAACATTTATTAACCTCATATACTATTAACTTGAGATCATTTACCTCTGATTTCACAGAATTGCAAAGGTCTCAAACTTATAATCCCATGCTCTCTACACTCAAATGTTGATTTAATACTGAAGAGACGTTAATATCAAGATGAACAGCAAACCACTTCAGCACTGTAGCAAATATATAAGTATCTAACGCCATACCTCTGCGCGTGAGAACCTGGAGTCGGCGAAGCCCGCCTTCTATTGTGGCCTGATGTAAGTTCCACATCAACATTTCTGGAAGACCTCACTCTATCACTACCTGGATCCATCCTTCCACTGCTGGCACTTTTCTTTTCAGAATCATATCTTTGATCCTTCGAGCTTCGGGATTTAACATCGCCATAATCCTCCTTCTCATTAGTTCTCCTCCTGCCTTGATCATCTCGATACCTGCCCGCTCGATCATCGCGTGTTGGACTTTCATCATAAGCGCTTGATTTCCTAACATGGTGATCAGCAGCATAACCATCATCCCTGTAACGTTTGGGGTCAGACTTATCTCCAGACCGGTCTCTCGAGGTATGTTCATCCCTCAAGTTCGAGTCCCTCGGTCTCTTCTCTCTATCGTATCCATCTCCTTGCTTACTGTCCTTATACCGAACATCTCTCTCAGTATCCTCCCGACACTTTTCTTCCTTGTGCCTATAATCTCTATCACTTTCATCTCTGAACCTACTATCCCTACGCCTGTCATCTCTGTCCTCATCCTCATAGTACCTTTCGTCCGCATGTCTGCCATACTTGTCACCATCTTCGTGAACTCGGTCTTCACGGTACTTATTGTCTTTTCTGCTTTCTCTCTCCGCACCTTCATGGTACTTTTCCTCCATCCGCCTGCTGTTTCGTTCCCCATTGTCCCGGTGTTTCTCATCCTTGCGCCTGCTGTCTTGATCAGCATCTTCACGATGCCTATCGTCTCTACGCCTGGAGTCTCTCTCACCATCTTCCCGATATCTTTCATCGTGATACTTATTATCCTTGTCTGCTTCTTCCCGGTACTTCTCGTCCCTCCGTCTATCATCTCTGTAGCCGTCTTCCTGGTATTTGTCCGAATGGATTCCATCTTTATGCTTGTCATCTTTGTATTTCAAGTCCTTGGAGCGCTCGATTTTGGATGACGACCGTCTCACTTCACTTTCTTTGGGTTCTTCATAATATTTCTCTCGTTCACTGGAGTTCCCTATTTTCTTGTGTGGCTTTTTTTCTATATCCTTGTCCAGATCAAGAGTTCGCAAATCATCCAAAGAAGTGCGTTCTGCTAAAACAGGTGACTGAAAATAAGTCCCATAAAAGTGACAGTACAATTCTAGCACACTCGAAATACAAATATACCAATTATCTAGGCTGAAATAAGCAAAAAGAGACTGTCTATATCTTGCAAATAGTTTTCTTTATTGATCTGGAATTTGGTTGCATCAAAAGGAAAAGGGTAAAGCAGGGGCATATACAATCAGGCCCGACCATCAGTTTAGACACAAATAAAATGTCAGGGGAATGCAGCTTCTACTCAAACAAAGAGCAACAGCTAAAACATCAAGAAAAAGAAACATTGATACCTAAAATCTATCAACCAAAAAAATTAGATAAAAGTCTAAACAAATAAAAAGTCTAATGGCATCCGTTCAAATTCTAATGAAAATTTTCTTCATCTCAATAGGTGCATGAATCCCCTTACCTAGTATTTATGAAAACAAACAGGAAAACCAGGCATTATGACCTTGCTCATTCTATTTTATTCAACTTAAATTCATGAACACTTTAAAATTCTTTTCCGGATGTACATATAATCATTTCAACTAAACCAAACCAAATAACAACAAAGCCAAAATTGAAAAAATTGCATCTTTAAGGATCAAGTGTTCAAAAGCAAAAACATACTTATGGTGCAGCACAGATGGCGAAAGTCCAGTAGCCGAAATATAAGAGGTTTTTTTTCTAATGAAAAAAGATGGGCCTTTACCATTCTTTGTAATGCAATCAGCATAGATATGTTGGTTAAATAAAGAAAACAATTTCAAAAGCATCAGAAGAAACACGTACACATCATTCTAATAGATAGAGAAAAAAAAAAGTCAAAGTGGTTTGGATTGTATCATCAACATAAAAGCAAAAAGGTGAAGGTTGAGCTACACATGAACAAGATAAGAATATTAATTATTAACCATGAATTTCCATACCACCAACAAAAAGTTACCTTACCATTATTTTCTCGAGATCGTTTACTCAGTCTCTCGCCAACTAAATCTACCAACTGAGTCCCCTGCTGCTTTCCAACATCAAAATCCACCAACTTCATATCAGCATCACCACTCTTACTCTCATGTCCCCCATTCTTCTCCTTTTCTGACCTGCGATCCTTGTCCTTTGACTCCTTCCCGTCTTTACGCGAAGAGGAATCCCTCTCAGACTTCCGCTTTGACTCGCCTTTACTCTTACTCTCCTCTTTCTCTACCACTACAGATACTAAAATGTCTTCTTTTCTCTCTCCAGCAGATCCACTTTCACGCCTTTTACTCTTACTCTTTGATTCAGACCTCATGCTTTCGCCTTTAGTGCTATTCTCCTTTGATTTGTGAATTTCCTTCTCAAGCTTCAAACTCTCCCCTTTATGAATTTCTTTCTCCACAATCCTCTCACTATTGTCCCCCTTCTCTTCTCCACCTTCCTTCCACCTATCGCCACCAATAACAGTGTCAGTTTTCTCTTTCCGCCGCTTGGAGGAAACATACTCCTCCACAACATCTCCATTCCCATGGCCATTCAGATCCCGATCGCCCTTAACCTCACGCAACTGAGACGAGATTTTCCGCTTCTCACCAGATGCCGACTCCCTATGGCCACGTGTGGAGCTTTCATCCTTGCTGCTTTTCTCCTTCATCTTCACTACATCCTCTTCAGAGTCGGAATAACCCTTTGAACTATGTTTGCTTTGTTTATGAGATTTGTGCCTCGAATTTTTGGGCATATCTGCAACCCGCGCAACACAAATAAATAAAGAAAGTATAACTACACACGAAACAAAAGACCTATTTCCCACACTCCGGCGACCAAACGCGCTGAGCGGCAGAAAATGTTTTATTTTTCCAGCCCCAAAATGAATAAGATTAGTCCACCACAAAATAACAATCAGAACAATGCTCTAGGCTCTAGCCCTCAGGAAATGAGAAACCCTAATTCAACCAATCACTACAGAAAAACTTGACAACGCGTCGATTCCAATCCGGCAATGAACCTAAATTTGAACCGAGAAATCACGGCGCCCGAAAATCGAACTTTTGCAGTCCGGTTGCTTGAACCCCTCTCAGATCGCTGATTGCGGCGGAACAAAAAATGGGGGAAATAAGTCTACGCGTTCGCCCCTCTCTCTAAGTATTGAAAATGCATTTGCGGTAAGCTCAGGAAAACGAAATAAAGATGTAAGTAAAATAAAGTAAAATCGAAAATTTTGCGGAACAGCTATAGAAAACGTGAAGAAAATTTTGGAAATTTTTTAGAGAGAGAAAGAAAGATCAGAGGCGAGGTCTATTGATGTATTTTATGTTCGCTGAGAAAAAATAAAAATGCAATCTGTAATTGGGGTATGGCAGATAGCTGGGTTTTGAAATGACAACTTTGTCCCTAGGCCGATCAGGTATTTTCGAGGAATCGTTGCCCGTACCACTTGGTTCTGGTTGCCCTTGCTTAGTTGCTTCTTTTCGGGAAGGCGATCTTCGGGACCATGATTTCGAAATTATCCATTAATTAAATTTCGTAATTATGTTCGTGTAATGAATTTGCGTAAAATAAAAATAATCCACCCGGCCTGTTTGATATACAAGATTGGATTAGATAGTAATAATTTGGACTGCCTATATTGTATTGTTAAGATTTCAGGAATTTTGAGTTTGTGGCCATGATTGTGGGCAAGAGAAAGTTAAAAAAAAATTAATTTTTGTGTTTGTGTGGAATGACAATTGTTAGGATAAAATACCATTTTACTTAATTATCCTTTCATTGTCTAATTTTTTTAACGACAGAAATTCCATTTTTTCCCCGTCTGTTGCCCCAATTCTAACCTAATTCTGTTGGCCGTCGAAAAATGAGATCTCTCACTCTCGCGCAGCGATCTCTGACAGTTGGCCATGGAATTGAATCAAGACGAATCATCCGGCGTAAGGTTTCGACGGGACCTATTCGCATCTGTGAACTTCTTCCATTGGTTCTGTGACTTCACGGTATTGTGTAGTGTACAACCCCAAATTTTTTGGTTTCTTACAGATACCTTCTTCCTGTGAAGTAATTATTTAATTGGATTGGATTATCTTTTTGAATCAGCGTTGTTATTTATTTTAATTTCTTGTCTTTTGGGTATCGAAGCAGTATGCAAATGTGTACCACATTATTTGCGAGTTGTGAATGAAAAAGGCAAGACTGTGTTGTTGTTTTGTCCAATCCGCAGAACCATTATTCTTTCCCCAACTAGTTGTATTCAAAAAGTATATGATTATATTCTCTGGCTTGTTGATGTCTGCATGGGTTGCTGTCATTTCCCATTGGATTCCTTTTGAACAGTAGGATACAATTTGGCAAAGATATAAGAAGGTTTTTGAAAAATAGTGTTTGAAACTGGTGTGCTTAATCAGTTGTCAGCTTTATCATTTACTTACATCACATAAATTGTGTAATTTCTATATTTGGTTCACATTACTCGCCTCTGTGTGCTCGGTCATGTCCTCCCCTATATAAACACGTTCGTTTACCTTACAATTTCCACATTCAAGTGACGGGCAGAAAAATAAGATTTAATTAACCCAACCTCTATTGTCATTGAACAACTGTATAATGGCACGTTTGGGAAGGGAAGCCACACAAAATGAGTTCCTTTACGATGATCGTTGGACCAAAGAGGTGGAGAACCTGTTCATAGACCTCCTTGTAGAGGCACATTTTGGTCTTGAATGGAGACATGGCAGACCAGGTTCACATGTATTCGCCTACTGCCGTGGTGTATTCGCCTATTGTAGGAACACAAACTTACAGAGAAGTCGTAGCCCCCCAGTGAATTTTTTGCCTCTTCTGCACCTCACTCACAGATCTTCTTTGACATTCTTCTGTGGGCCAAAGACGACGATGCTTTATAATGTGGCATGTTGTAATTATTTGGTCACTCAAGGTTAATTTCGTCCGAAATGTGAAATATCAGGGACAAAAAAGAAATTTAAGTTGGGCCTGCACTGTATGGATCAAAAATATCACATGGGCTACACGGGATTATTTAATACCCGAAAACCCAGATTATGTGATTTTAATCTCGGGCTCTACCTAATCCTACGGGCCGCAGTCTTGCAATACAAACGCCAGAGTAGGTCTGGACAAAGGGCATAATCCTATCCAATCTTGTATATATATATAATTGCACAATGCATCAAACCTAAGTGGCATGCTCTCACGCTTCGTAATTCTATGTGACAAAAAACCTTGCTTTGTAGTCAGACTTGGATTTTACATAATTTAGTTAAATTATTACTTTAGAAAAAGTTAGATGAATAAATTGCATAATTTTAAACGAGATGGAAATCTAGGGTTAATTGAATATGAATTTAATAAAAGATTATATTTGGAGCGTCAAATTCTGCTCGATGACTCTTTCAAACTTTTTTTTAGGGTTTAATTTACACAGTTATATATCTCATATCACTTCATATAATGTTTTTTTTCTCATTCTTCTATTAGCCTATATTATTTATTTTTTCATCATAAATGTCTAACATAATATTTTCTTTTATTTTTTATTATGGTTTTTATAAGTGTTTAATTCTATCATCTTCTTTAATTTCTTGCGAATTTAACTTTTCAAAGATCATATGTTTGTATAGTTTGAACCTACTGATTGTTTACTTATCCTGTCTTTTTCATTTGTAAATTTATGTTTTCAAGTATCAAATGTTTATTTTAAATGCCAAGAGTTTATGTGTTGATATAAAGTGATTATGAATATTATTGGTAATTTTAGAAGATAAAATTATTATCTTTTGACAATGTTTGTGTCTAACAAATAACCATCCTAATAATCTTTTTCTATAACATGATGCAAAAAGTAAAAAACAAAATTCAATCTCTCTTATCTATATATGAAGAAGTTAGTGTCCTTCAAATAGTGACATGTGGCACTTTGTGATGCCCTTAAATATTGACATGTGGCCTTTTATGGGTGCCAATGCTTTGCAATTCTAGAGTCCTTAATGGCTGGCACGTGACTGAAAAAAGCTTTGCATATGATTGCAACGTGGTCATGTAGTGTCCTTCAAATAGTGACATGTGGCACTTTGTGATGCCCTTAAATATTGACATGTGGCCTTTTATGGGTGCCAATGCTTTGCAATTCTAGAGCCCTTAATGGCTGGCACGTGACTGAAAAAAGCTTGGCATATGATTGCAACGTGGTCATGTAACTTTGCTATTTTTACATGCCTTCTTTTCTGACTTTTAGCACACTTTTTCTTGGCTTTTCGTGTGATTATTTTTTTTTTCCATTTCTCATAGCAAACAACGTCGTATTGGGGTTGAGGCTACTTTAGCAAGTATGGTGTCGATTGGACATCTCCTTTCTCCCCTCAAAATCAGGCCGTCTTGAGCAATTTGGTGCCCCGAAAATCTGCAATTCGCCTTCTTCACGCAACCTTCAGTGTACTCTCTCATTTAATTCTTAAGCATCATAAACGTTCCCTTCGTCTTCAATCTCACCTGCTGCATTTCTCTCACTTCTTCCCCTTCAAAATCGCAGCTCACATTTTTCTCTCTATCTTAGGAGCCGATGAAGATTAGGCGATTGGATATTGTTGTGGGACTTTGGTCTGATGTATTTGACCGCTGACGGTTTTGGTAGCGTCCACGCCGCCATCTCTGTTTTGGATTCCATCTCCGAACTAAAGCTGATGGTCGAGAGCAGCGAGCGGCACTGCATCTGACGGACATTGAAGTTCGCTTTCCTACAGCTACGTATGCGGACTTGCCCGACAATAGAGAGTACTGACGTCTTCTTTGCCCACGGCGCTGCATCGGATAGACAGTGAAGTTAGCTTGCCCACAACCCGACAATAGAGAGCCGCGACGTCTAACTTGCGACGGCTACGTATGCAGACCCGCCGACACAGAAGGCTTTGGATTTTTAACCTGGAGGATCGCAATTCACACCTCAAGAAAATTGAGTATGTGCAAATTTCCCAGAAACTTCTAATATTTGATATTGGAGAAGTGTCAACAATTTGCTTTCCTGCCAACACAGTTCAATTTTATTGATTTTCTTGGTTTATTTATTTAGTTTGTTAGTATCCTCATGTGCTATCAAATTGAAGATCAGTGCTAAACGAAGATGATCCTAGATTCAAGAGGGCCTAAATACTTATTTACTATGATGGAGGTTTAGAGGTAAATTACTGGTAATGACTGCTTCATTCTTGAGTTTCTTTTCTTACACTCATTTAGCCACATTCTTATTAGTATGATACTAAAAAATCAGCCAACTAGACATACACTTAATGATAAAATACGCTAACTCAACTCCGCTACTGACAATGCAACATCCCGATCAAGAGGCGACAATAATTTGCCTCTGGTGCATACTGAGAACAATAGAGTTGACCATAATTCATAATAACACTGGGGAATGGTTGAGCACATGATAATTCAGGCATAAAAATGATGCACTATTTATGATGGTCCTTATGTTTGAAATCAGTATTTTCTATTGCTCAGGTTGTTCCAACCACAAACTTGATACATTCAGGCATATCTGGCGTTTGATTGGTTCCATTTAACTGTTAATTTATGTTGAATGTAATTCATGGTATGTGTTGGTGATCACTTTGATGCTTCCATTCGCCATCTTTTGGCGATATCACAGCTTACTAATGTATAGAAACATTAAGCTGCTAATGGAAAATGTAATGACTAGAGATTTAGGGCTTGTTTGGAAACACTTATTGAGAAGTCCATTTTAAGATGGACTTTTTGAAAAGTGACTTCTCAAGAAGTTTTCAATGTAAACTTCTTTGAAATGGACTTTTTAAGGGAGTTACTTTTTTTTTAAAAGTCCATTTTGTTATTTGCACCAAACATCTTTTTATATAGTAAATGAACTTTTATAGTCAAAAGTCCATTACAAAAGTGCATCCAAACATACACTTAGTCGTCAACTACATAAGATAACTTTTGTTTTCATTACGGCCTCATGGAATGATGTTCTAATGAAAAATTATTTTGCATGTTCAGGACTACATATGATGTAACACTCAATGATGTTAGCTGGTCCCTCGAGGCGGCGCTGGTGGCAAGGATACCGCCGACAACGCGGAGGAGCTGCCCATTTTCAGCATAAAAAACATGCTCTGGCACGGTGGCTCCGCCTGGGACGCCTGGTTCAGTTGCGCTTCCAATCAAGTACTAATATATACAACTTAAATATCAAATTTCATATTTTGTTTTAATTTTGTGTTGTTACAAACTGTTTGTCCAATTACAACATGAACTATTACAAGGAGAATTATTGAATTAATTATCTAACATGTATTTTTCTTTTTAATATTTGAAAGTTGTAGAAGTGCTTCAAACACTGCAATATTCATTTTCACAACTTGGAATGTTATTTGGAATTATTTTCCAAGTGTTTTATGGCTTGTATTCCTTGGGCAATCTCTTCCGAGAAGTAAAAGCATCATGTATTAAGTTCTAGGAAACAAATAAATAAATTGAAAACATAATGTGACAATTGGAAATTATAATAATTAGTACTTAAATAAAAGTATCCCTGAGGTAGAAGTATCCCTGAGGTAAGCTTAGTTACAACAATCTCCAGTTGTTTTTAAGGTTACAGATACTCCCATCTTGAGGGTAAAATTGCAACTAAAAAGAGGTAAAGGGGTATTATTAATTTTACAATATAATTGTTATATTTTTTTGGGTTAATAACATTTTCCCATCTGAACTTTCACGTTTTTGGCGCATCACCATATGAACTTTTTTTTTTACAAACCACCATCTAAACTACACGAATTTGTCAAATTGGCCTCTAAACCGGATATAAAAGTGGTTTTGAATAAAAAAAAAGCTGATTTCTAAGGGTATTTCTGTAATATCATATATTTTTCAAAAAAAAAATAAAAAAAATAAAAAATGAAGATGTTGGTTTATCTTCTCCGACCGTATCTCTTGCAACACCTAATCGACCCTCAAGTGCCTTCTCCGATCCTCCGCCTACCCGGACGAGTTTCAGGGTGTGTTGTCTAATCGATCCTCAAGTGTTCCTTCGAGTTCTGCAACACTGTCAGGTCGTCGCCGGAATTTCGCTGCTCGGTCGTCGGTCATCCCACTGCCAATCTCAGCCCCAAATTCGACGCCACCAACAATAACCCGGTGGGTCGCCGTCATCCCACCCGCGACGTGAACCACGAAGCCCAAAACAATGAAATACGGTCAACCCACTGCGCAATCTCAGCCCCAAATTCGCCGCCACCAACAATCAGCCGTCGGGTCGCCGTCATCCCGCCCCAACCGCCGCCATCCCACTCGCGACGTGAACCACGATTCAGCCTGAGCATCCACCTCGTAGAGTCGTAGGGCTTCTCGCCGCGCCTGCTCGCCTGCAAGTCGCCGGAAGACAGGGCTCCATCTCGATGCTCTTGCCGTCGGAAAACGCAGCTCTCGAAGGTGTTGGCTTCAAGGCGGCCGGACGATGGTCGGAGAAGACGATGGCTGCGGGAAAAGTCACCGAAATCGCTGCTCCAGACGAGAAGGATGAGGTCGCCGAGTTTGTTGCTGCTCGTCTCCGCCAAGAAGAGAGAGAGACGACGGAAATTTTTAAGGAAGGAGATGAGAGGCGATTTGTTGGAGATGTGCTTTTTTGCTGCAGGCCAATTTCAGATCTGATTTAGGAAGAACGATGAAGAAATGGTGATTTGATCAAAGAGGGGTGACAAACATATACAACTCCTAAAATACCCTTACAAATCAACTTTTTTTGACAAAAACTACTTTAATTCTGGTTTGAGATGGCAAAGTGACAAATTCGTGTAGTTTAGATGGTGGTTTGTAAAAAAAAAAGTTCATATGATGATGCGCCAAAAACGTGAAAGTTCAAATGGGAAAAAGTTATTAACCCTATTTTTTTTCCTCTTTTGCAAATTTGCATAGTTTATTTCATTTAATTTTCATTCAATGATTTATTTAAGCAAAGGAGAAATGCTACCTTATAAGTTATAATATGTGAAATTTCATCTTCCATGTACGCCAGCATGGCTTAATTTATGACTGAAAATCACTTTTGCTTCATCATGCTTCAAGCCAGGTGAAAGATCAATAGTTTCTATATTAAGGTTCTTTAAATTGACTTATATGATTATCTTTGAATAAATGCTTTTTTTGTATAAAATATAAATAATGCAGTGGTTTGGGGCGCTAGATGGATTGCTAGGTCCTTACTGGAAAGCAGTGGGTATAGCCTTTAACCGCACTTGTGTTCTATTACCATTCTGAAAATAATTTGTGAATGAAACACAAGTGGCTAATCTCACTTTACTTTTTCTATAGCCTGCTCTTGTTAATCTCATTATCCATTTACTCAGAGGGGTTGTTCTATACATTCCTTTGAGCTGGAGGCAAAAACCATAAACTCTATTTTATGGGCCACAGAAACTTATCACTTTTTGTGTTCTTATAAAGGTTGCCTTAGAGGTTTGATATTCTCATGAATTGTATTTCTACTATAATTTAGAACTACCTCTGTATTTGATTGGATGACTGTTTCAGGAGGCGTATACTACTCCAATTCAGCCTCTCGATGTTGTAGCAGATAGGATTATCTTAAACTGTGCAAAGCATAAGTAGTTTCTCATAAACTGACGATTTTTTAGAAGCTTCGCTTCAAACTACTATTGTCGGTAGAGAGAGAACCGAAGAGAGAGGAGCGTAGAATTGAAGTGATTAAGAGCATAGTGTATGGTGAGCTAGCTGAGTGGATCACTAGCTTCAGCGTCGTGTCACAAGGTGTTGCTGGTGGTGCTCGCACATGTAAATATGCTCACAAAATTATAATACTAACATACATAATTATTGAAAAAAATAATTATACCAACATCACAAAACTGCTTTTGAACATCATATATGTGTGTGCAATTGTTGTAATTAACTAACTTTTTTTGTTTGTTTCTCCATCTTATCTATAGTGAATGTTTTAGCTCTTATGGCCAATCTAATTGGAGGGACTTCCATTTATGTCAAAATGTAAGTTTCAATATAATACTTATTCATCTTTCTACATTTTAGGGTTTCTGAAATTGGGGCTCTTGATTTCGGGGGTGCAGATTTTTGTGGTCCAATATTTAATTTGTTTTGTTTTTTTAGGAAATACGGCCGATTGAATTGAAAACTCTTGATGTTGCACACGTCCTCCTCTATGCATTGTACGAGGGTGAATCTTCTTTGAGCTAATAATGTTTATCACACTGGTTTGAGAAGAATAGTTTATCCAATGTATAAGGAACTTTCTCTCCCTCTTCAGATGTGGTTACTCGAAGCTGAACCCCATGACCAAGGAGTTCGTGTCGCCATCCCTTTCCTTCCTTGACAACGGGCAACTGAGATTTCTGGTGGCGGAGCCCCAAGTTGTGGCAGCAGCGGCGACAAGGGCCGCTTTTACACACATCCAAATCTCCACCAAGCAAGTGAGTATAATTTTGCAGGAATTTTTCAAGCTCGAGAGTTTTCCTTCTTCTGATATACTACTTTTACTAATTACAATATTTCATTTTCTGAGGTGTCTCAAATTTACTAGTAGAATTGTGAAAATTTGATGTTCTATTTTTGCTGCTTCATTTCGATTATGTGTTTGTGCACACTGATACATGAATGGTGGTAAAAGAAATTGATATTGTATCCAAAATTGAAACCTTTGTCATACGAATACACATTTGTGATCTTGAAGGAGAACTCTATGTGTTTGTATACCAAGTCATTGAACCTTCAATAGTTCTTGGGAATTAAACGTGTGAATTATCTGTTTCAATACGGGCTGCGTTAGATAGGGCAGATAATTGCTTTTTGTTGGGTAAAGCAAAAAATGAACTACATAAATTAGGCCAGTTCAGGTGAACATTTTATTGGGCTCGCTTAGAATTTTTGTTTCGAGTGATGGTGCCACAAAAGAAGCCCAAAAATAAAATAATAAATTCATACTTATATTTTCATGTTTTTATTCTACCATTTTTATGAGCAAGGTCGTCAAAGACATTACAACTTTTAACGCATTTGCAATTTTTTGGACAATAAAATTCTCCAATAATTGTTGGTGTCTAATATAAGTAAAGTATTTAAATAATTTATAAAACCAAAAAAAAAAATAAAAAAAAATGATGCATTGGTAGCGAAAATAATTATTCATCAATATTCCTTAAGATATTAAACAACCAGTGTAAAAATTGGACATGAACTTGACTGATCATTACAACTAATGACCAAATTTTCACTGTATTTTTAGACTAAATTTGAGTCCGCCGTGCATGCACGGCGTGACCAAACTAGTAGTAAACATATAAATATGTCATGAATGAATTGATTAGGGGCATCTTTCTTGTCGAACCGAAATGGGCAGCTTACATTTGAGCTTGTGCTCGTTTATTAAACAAACAAAAGACTCGACTCAAACTCAGCTCGTTGAAGCTCGTAAATGCTCGGATCAGCTTGTTAAGTGAATCTAAAATCACAAACTAGTTATTTGTGAACACAAAAATGTTTGTTCTCAAACAAGTTGGGTGCAATTTTATATTTTCATAAAAAAAATAAAAAAATATGAGTAATTCATTAAAAAATCACCTCGGTTCGTTTCATTAACAGGCTCAATTAGTTGTTAAAGTTCAATCCATTTTAGAAAACAAACTAGTCGAGTTTGAACTTTAATAAGCAGAATGGAGTTGTGTTCGCGATTAACTTGATTTAATAACAGTTTAATGGTTGTTTCATATTTTTTTAGATAATTAATTTATTACTTTTTAGTTACACAGTGGTAATGTTGCGTTTTTTTTTTGTTTCTTCTTGTTGAAAGTTANTAATCTCAAAATGTCCACCAGAGTCATTAAAGCTTCTAAAATCCAATAAAAATGCTCACTTTAAAAAATTTTAAAAAGTGGTTAAAAACCTCATCAATTGAATAAAACTCTTTTGGGACACGATTGACTACTGATTATATCCAATTTTGATTGATCCGATAATTTTTTACATTACTTAACTCAAAATTCAATATAAAATTTTACAAAAAGAAAAATTAAAAATTCAATCCAAATTTAATCTAGCCTAACGCTCATCACTATTATAAATATAGTTATATAATATCAATAAATCATCCTCGTACATCGTATCAAAATTAGTTCATATTCACTTACTCATATATTTTTAACTATATACCATTTTCAATAATATCTATCATATTTTTGCATCACATCAACTTAATCATTATGTTTTAAATATTATTAAAATTCAAATTCAAAATTTCATTCGATCCTCAACTTCATCGATTTTATTTAAAATTAATTCATTTTTACCAACAAATTCTATCAAAACTAATTTTATTTATATCCCTTAAAATTCATTATTTCCTTTCAAACCAAACGCGGCTTAAAATAAATAAATAAATAAATAACAATCAGTCTGGATGGGACTTGGGAAGCACAATGGAATCTAAAAATTACGAAACTGCCACTTCAATATTCTGTCAATTGTCAATAACATAAGAACATCTCCAATGGTACATGGATTGCTCTCTTTTATTGCCACCTAGCCTCCAAAATCTAATGTGACATTCAATAAATCTAGAAGTCTTTCTAGATGTAGAAAGACTTCTAGACATCTTTCATTTTATTTATATTATTTAATTTATATTTATATCTCTACTAACCAAATTATTATATTTATGTGTCAAATTATCACACAATGGAGATTAACCATTGGAGACAAAATATTTTTTTGTTCCTTTATCCACACCATACATCTCAAAATAGAGATTGGGCCATTGGAGATGCTCTAAGGTTAAAAATGTCATCGCGCACAGCCCACCAGCTAGCTCAATCATCATCAGGCACAAAAGTTCTCATCCCAACAGCTTTCTCGTTTCATCATTCGTTTTATTTCTTCGTCTTGTCCCTGCAACTTAATCATCTGCCAGAATAAAGGTATGAATTCACGTCCTCTTTTATCTCCGATATTTTTCCCGTATTTATAGTTCATGAAGTAGTCCCTTTTCCGCTCGCAGGCTTTTGAACTCAAGTTAATGTTGGACCTCAGAGTAATATCAGTACTTTATGTTTCTTTTGCGTTCTTCTAGGTATTCATATATTCATGATTTAGAAAGGTTTTATCAGGTCTGACAAATTTTCCGAGATCATGTAGAATTTGATTATTCCCATAGATCAATTTCAACCGTGGGATGCAATTTAGCTTTCCAAGTTGAACTCATGGCCCCAGCCAGGAATTCTTGTTATTGCTATCGTTACATATCCTGTATTATTGTCTATATATGTATCTAGTATATGGTTTGGATATCGGTATGAATAGGTTATCCTGTAGTAAAATTTTTAATGGTAATAATGCTTTAACATCATAAGGAAATATCTTACTTGATTTATAATTTCTTGGATTATGACTAGTTTCAAGGGTGGTGGTGGTGGATATTTCAAATCATGTGGATTCTGAGTTTTAACTTTTAATGGGTCAGCTGTTTAATCGAGACTGAATGATCATTCACCAACACAAATGTATAACAAGTTAATCACTAACCAGATGTGTGTTCTGGACAAAAAATGTCAAATAATTTTTATGTACTTAGTTAATACTTCTTCTAGTCACTAAGCCATAGCAATTTTATTTACGGATATTGATGTATTTTGTGGCCTCATATTCTTCGTCTATGGTGATATTGAGTTTTATGGTGTTAGGGCAAACAAGTCAGCAGGCCTACGGTGATTTTGAGTTCTACAAGAGTTTCTTTCCCCTCGCGCGATAGTAAATTTACTAGTGAAAGCTAAACTTATGGGCGATGGTCCTCGAGGCATACAAGTATTTCCTGATTATTTTGTAGCATCAACTTCTGGTTTGGATTCTCCTCCAACCCAGGCATCTTCAGCCCCGGATTTTAGGTCTTTGTTCATTAAAGAATTCTGGTAAAATAAAATGAATTTATGTGATTTGAAATTTGATTGTTATTAAATTCGTTTGCTTTAGCTTAGGTCTCCTAGCCATTCGTCTGCTCGAAGAAGATTTAGAAGAGCCACAACCATGTTGAACTTATTTAGTCTAAAGGGGCTATCATGGAAATTAGTCGGAAATGATCAGGAAAAGGTAGGTATAATAGTGTTTTCGTATGCAAACTGGTTAAGAATGTGATTTTCAAGTTTGTGGGAGCTTGAATTCTTGTTATATGCAGGTTGTGTTAAGTGCTGTGGAGGTGGAATCTCTTCGTTCAGAAATAGCTGCTTTAGAAGAAAGAGAATCTCACTATAAAGCTCAGTAAGCATGACTTGCAATAATACCCTCTATTCCCGTTGATCAAACATAACTTTGTGTTCAGATGAAAAGCTAGAGTAAACTGTTAAAGAAACAAATATATTTGTATGCTTGTGTCTATTTCCTACAGTGTGAACTTGATTGTCTTGATTCAATTCAGTTACTGGAAAGATTAATCTATATTTTTCTGTATAACACTATCAAACCTTTGTGAAAGAACTTGTTTAGGGCTTGCATCTGTGGTCTTTCCACTTAATTTTTATTTTGGAAAAATTGTGTGAAAATGGTTGTTTGGTTTCGTAGAGAGTGAGTGGATATGGGATTAGAATGTAATGGTGATAGTTGATGTGATGTAAGTGGTGATTGGGAGAATAAGGGAGAGGTGAATAGCCTAAGCCTATTCATGATGCAAATATGTTATAATTATCTTATAATATTGGCTTAAGGAAATATAATTGGATTTGATCAGTGATTGAAACACGAGGCTGAGTAACTTATGTATCCTTTCGCGNAGCAGCAATTGCTTTTATTTTTTTGCATACATGTGCATTTGTATGATAATATGAAGTGCTTCCCCATCTTTCTGCTTGACTTATCATAAATCTACACAACCCTTATCCAACTTGAGAATTTTTCTTCTTCTCCTTTGTGTACACAGGCTAGAACATGTTGATGAAGTATTAAGATCTGCTCGTCTATCTGGATATCTGTTCTTGCGAACGGTTATACCGACCTTTCTTATATAAACTCTACCTTCTGTGATATGTCGAAATATTATCTTTGCTTTATTTACTCTTTCCCCCCTTTTTTTCTTTTATATCCAATAGAGATGGGCAGCATTACCGGGAGAACCTCCACCGATAGACGATACCGACGTTGACGATTGGCTTCCACGCTTTGTTGTCCTTCACGGGTCATGCATCTATCTGTACATGATAGCCACTGGTAAATTGATTTATTTCAGACCTCTGGTTTATCCAGAACTGCACATTTCATGTTTGTGAAGCTTTCCATTATTATCCTTTTCACTTAACTAGGAATGAGTGTGAAAAGAGCCCCCTTCGTTTCTAGTTCTTCTGCACAATTTTCAGTCGATGAGAATCAATAGTGGTGTTTGACTTTATATGTACTTTCCCCGAACGAATTCTATACACTGTCTTTATAGGCATTGTGGTGCTCACATTCTGATATATTTATGTGAAGATTTTGATTTTTTTTTTTCTTTTTAAATAATGAGAGGAGAAAAAAGTTCCACAATCTGAAATCAAATAAACTGGTTCTATTGCTGCTTTGACCAGGGTTGAAATTTCTTGGTTAAATATGTCATAATTTTCTCCTTTTTTCAATCTTGCTTGCATTGAATCTCATTGTTTTACAATTAGAATATCCATTAAAAAAAAAGAAAGAAAGAAAAAGAAAAGTATTTAAGCATTACAATTTGAATGAGATCTCTTAGTGATTATGACTACCATTTACCCTAGGAATTGGGATCTTCCCATACAATTTTTAATCTAATATCTATTGTTTATAAAAATCTGTGTTGCAGATTTATGCCCCCAGGACTCGACCCTCCTATCTGATGTTGTTGAAGTTGGGGCCCTCCCTTGCCTAACACGAGAAGACGACGAGACCCGATATTGCTTTTATATCTTAACACGTCATGGCTTGCGATATGAATGCTCAAGTCCATCTAAGATACAGGTATGCAAGTTCGTCTCATAAACTAGAGAACCTATAATCCTTTAGGCCGACATATTGCTTTAACAAATATGCATACTTTCATTAGAAAATGTCATACTTTTAAAAAACAACATAAACAGATGTTTGACATTTGGTAGTATAAATATGCATTTTTATTCACATAGTATGATGGGTCGACCCGCATAACCTTTAGACTGCCGCACACAAGAATTTGTGTTTATGTAAAGTTTCGTTAATGCGAAAGAGTTGTATGAAAAGATTTGTGTGAAAGTGGCATTTGTATGAAATGAGTGTTTAGGAAAACTTCTGAATTTAGAACAAGTGATTACTTGTAATATACGCTAGAATTGGGAGAGTCGGAGATTCACAGTGTATGGAACTAGAAAAAAGCTGATTTAATCAATTGGTATTGTTTGGTAAATATGTCATAGAAGTGCTTGTTTGCTTGTGAAAGCCATACAGACAGCGGAATTTGAATTAGAAACAGAGCTTTAAATATAGAATTTGAAAACAATAAGCTTTATTTGCTTGTGAAAGCCATACAGATAGCATAATTTGAATTAGAAACTGAGTTTTAGATATAATATTTGAAAAGCTTTATTTGTTTCTCGTACATGGAAATCAAAAACTGTAAATGCTGTTTTCATAAGTATAGCCATATCTGGCATACATGGAATTCAACATCTTGGATGTCACGTGTTCAGATCGATTCATGGTTGGCAGCACTAAGGATTGATTGCAAGTTGGCATCGCAATCTGAAGACCCAAAGGAACCAGAGAAGACGTGAATCTATTCAATTGCATCACAAATCACCTGTACATATATGTCTTGATTTGAAGTGCTATCACGATTTGTTTAGAGTGAACAATAGTTCTTAACATCATTTGTATCTTGTACATATCCTATTTCAGCTGGATATAACAGCCTTTGATTCGGGGGACAATTCCTCGATGGGTCCCAGATTTAAGGAAAATGTATCAGATATAGGCTGAAATTTAAGCCTCTCTCTCTCTCTCTTATTTTTTTGAGGAAATTACATCCTCCACTTAAAATACTTGAAAATATTACATAATTACATCCCCTATATAATTATTTACAAAATAACTAAATTTGTTATATTTATTTGCATATATGTCTAAGAATCTAATTTTTATGGTAACTTCTCATTCCTATTTACATGATAACTTTCCATCAATTACGTCTCTCTCTTCTCCCCCTCTCTTTATCTCTTCACACGGCCCTATCTCTCTCTTCTTCACACAAAACACGCGCGCTGCTTCTTAAAGATAAACTGAAGGGCGAGACGGAAAATACAATTATTTTGTTCTGCACACAATTAAGCAGATGATTTAGTGACGGAGAATACAATTCTTTTTTATCCAAACTTTGTTTTCTGGTTTTTATATTTGTCTTATCTGTGTGTATACTTCTTGTTGGTGGTCTTCACAAGGTCTCGTTTTATGGAGTTGAGAACAGAAGGAATAGGATTAAAAAATCTTCTCGTGACCTAACGGGCCTCTTAATGGGTTTTCTATAGAACTGATTGATTGAAGTTTGGATAATAAAGAATGGTATTCTCCGTCTTCACCTCTCTTTCTATATAAGAACAAAGTTTGGATAAAAGCTTTCTCTACTTGCTGTACACAAAACATTGCCGCGCTGCCATGATTGAAGTTTGGATAAAAAACCTTCTCAGGGGATAATTGTCGAACACTTGATGTGCTTGATTCGCTAATAGATAGTTTTCATTTTGTATATGTTGCGGGTATATGTTCAGTATATGTTCTGTATAATAGAAGATTTTTTTTTTTTGTTATGTATATGTATGGTTTATATTAAGTAACATGTTATATTATGTTTATAAACTACTAGTGGGCTCTCGGCTGTGCACGCACAGCCGGCCCGAGTCTAGTCTATTATTGTGAAATATTCAAAACAAATAAATAAATAAATGCAATTCTTCCAAAGGAACGCCATTATGTTATGTTAACTAAACGTATGATTGTGTCATCTCTTCACAACTAACCATATAATTGTGTCACATATCCATTTAAAANGGAAAGGAATTGATCTCACCAACATTGTCAATAAGAATGTTTGACATAGGTATTAGAGTATCCCTTAGCTAGCTGCAGTATTCAATAGCGAGAATAAGATATGCAACAAAAAATAAACCGGAAAGGAACATCAATACCTTACCCCAATCACTTACAATTTAGGGATCACCAAAAAGACAACAAACAAAACAACATTTATTTCAGAGTCATGATCAACAGGCAACCAGCCAGTCAAATAATAACCAATGAAAATGCTTGTCATGTAAATATTTTCATTTTCCCGTTTCTATCAAAACTAACTATTCCAGCTTCAGACTACATTCAGAAATTGATGATGAGAAACCCTAACATAAAACTAACATACCAAGTTGAAAAAGCTTTCAACTAGATATATACAAACAAACAGTAAAAGAAAACGAAATGTCTACCTGAAGCTTGTTCAAAGTCGAAGAGAGGGAAGTAAATATCCAGAGGATGAAAAAAGCATCCAAAATCGCCACAGGAAGCGCAAAAAACAGCCTTGCCTTCCCCGAGAGATCACTGATCGTGCCAACATTTTCTATAATCTCAAGAATTTCAGATGCTACAAAGAAAGTCCCACCGAGCAAAATAACCTTGGACGTAAGACCACCCAACGTGGGCCGAACCACACCATAACCCATAGACACAATGAGAATAATCAGTCGCGACACAGTACGTTTCACTATCCCAAAAGTGACAGCCCATAGAGTGGTCCCTGTCGGCCTCACTCCAGTCTCATTGAACTCGGCATAGTCAAAGTACCAAAAAGCCATCTCAAACATACCCAAGTAATCACGAGCGTAATACAGTTCTGCAAAGGAAGAACCTCTTTCCAGAACCTCGCGTACTGGGAAAACCAGATCCCGAGCAGCACAAATGCAAGGGACATGAACCCATAAAACTTCATGAGGGGAGCCATTCGGCCAGGCAAGTAACCTGTTGGGTTTTTCCAGACGGTTTTGCCCTCTACATAAATATCCTTGAGATTAGGGTCACAGTGAATGAAGTAAAGGTTGTACATTCCAGTTTTAGTGATCTGTATGGACCTCGGCTGCAGGGTGGTCTCCAAAATCCTCACATTAATAATATTTTTATTTCGGGAACACAAATTAATAAAGATGAAGACACGGGTGATTTACTAACCTTTTCTCAATTTCGATACATTCAGAAACCAAAGGATTCTAAGTAAAGCCGTTATTTTTCTTTTATTCTAAAAATCATTGCCAAAGAAGAAAAATGGAGTTAATTAAGAAAACTACAAACCATAGGCAACCGTAAATAGCTAAAAAATTAAAATTGAAATTTGGTGCCTAAGATCGAAGTATGTATTTTATTTTGGAAGACTTGGTATCTTCTAGGACATTAGTGATAGATTCTCAATTTATTGAAAGAACTGACCAACCCAAAAAGGTGAAAAACCACACAATAAAATGTAGAGAATAACATACGCACTCAAATGAGCACTTATGAATTGCAGTACACATAAAAATAAAAATGAGACAAAATAAAAATAGTAATGAAAACGATTGATCGTCTACTGCACAAAGAGTTGAGAACAATTATTATCTTCAAGAGAAATTGATTTCAAGGAGAAATATATCAAAATTATATGGTTTCTATTTATCTCAATACCATCAATAGTCAGGAGCAACACAACACAACACGATGATTTTTTTAGATAACCTGGCCAATGAATATATCCTCGCATTGGGTAAATCTGCATCATATAATAAAAAATAATTAATTAAGTAATCAAGTTATATTTCATTTGATTTATTAAATGAAATATTCTGTGATTTTTCAGGAAGTACCGAAGCGAGACCCGGTTGAGGGGCGACGGGTGAGAAAGAGAAGGGGATATCCGTGACCCGACCCAACGCAAACAGCTCACGGGAAACCAAACTTACATTCGCCACCATCCTTGCATAAACCATTCGTAGTGTACATGCAAGGCCTCCACAAATCCCCCTGATCTGGTGCTGACCGAAATGCGACTAAGGAAAAGCGCCGACGGGCGTTATATCATGAATTTGGATAAGAAGGCCAAAATCTGAACCTATTGAGAAGCTTTTCTAAAATCAAAGACATTGGATAACAAAACTTCATTTGGTTAGCGCCAAGACGCAGCCAGAACGTTATAAGAAAAAGCTAGGCACACAAATACCTATGCGACGACCCCGCTTGACCTGCAGTTTCCACCCGAAGATGTTGTTGCACAAATAAACTACATATGTAAGCAATATACACCAAGAAAGACAGGCAAAACTATCCTAGAAAAATCAAGTCTTTAAAAATAAATAAACAATCCGAGATACCAACCTGCCCAACTCGTTGAACCTCCGACGACTATAATTAAGACTCAATTTTGTAGGTGCTGATGGAAGGTTTTGTAACTTAGCTCGTATCCGAAATTGTGTACGGTGTCTCCAGTGTAAAACCGGTAAGTCCTTCCTGGATAGTTGCGGCAAGGGTCAGGCCGCATGTTCATGTCACTCATGGGCACGCCCGTGAACGATTCGGAGTACCAAGTCATGGGTGGTCTTCCACCTGTTTATTTATTTATTTCATAGCAAGATCACTTCATATTGTCAGGATTCAAGAACAAATTCCTAGTGGGTGGTTAAATGATTTCTTGGGATATTTAACAGAAACTAATATCCCCAAGTTTGGAGGTAGCAAGGAAATTAGGTTATTTAAAAATGTTAAATACTTAAACTTATTTATAGATCTTGTACATGTCTTCGACATATTCGATAGCATTCAGGTCATTATTCACATCCGCAGCATCTATATCTACTTAGTTTATTACTCAGCCCACGAGCAGAGCTCATAATATTCGAATATGGTCAAGAATAAGAAAAAGGCGAAAGAACAAGTTCCCCTAAATCTAACTTATTCGATGAACCAAATGTACTTGTACCTTGCTTTTTGCACTGAAAGTCGAACTCAGCGTTGGAGCTTTCATTTTCCATGATTTTTTGGCCGGATTTGACTTGTTGGGCTCTGCAACTCTTTCTACATCGTCCGGGATTATTTCGATTATCTTCTAAGGCTTAGGCTTGATTGAGGCTTTCTTCCAAGTGAGCCTTTGAGTCTCACATGATTCTCCAATCTGTAGAAAAATTCTGGAGGAGGTAGATAGAGGAAAAAATGGACAAAAATATTAGTGAAAACAAAGATGAGTAGCGGCCATGGTTTGATGAACAAGGATTTGAGAAGAAATCCATTTCGGATTACCTCATTCGGATTTACCATTTGGTAATCTTCTTGCAGTTGCGGATCTCCCGGAGCGCACCATCCCGGTACGAAAGCGGTGTGGCTTCTTCACTCCTCCGGTCGCCGGCGAAGATTTTCTTGAGGCCTGTGAATATGTGAGTTGGAAATGAGACTAATTGCTTGGGTATGAGTTTGTGAATAGGGAGAGTGTTTGTTTACCTGCTCCTGTCATCTCCGACTTGCTTTGTGCGAGAATTCAGCAAAAAAGGACGAAAAGATTTTTCCCCATCTCTGACGTGCGGGAATTCAGGGAAAAACAATTCGGCCCAATAAATTGAAAAAAAAAAAGGAAAAATAAATAAAGGCAACGCAACTGACGTAAAAAGAGGCAGAATTAATAAATAAAGGCCGCACAACAGACGTAAAAAGAGGGCAGAATAATGGGTATTTTAGTCCAAAAAAAGGCCCAAGTGTCAAGCTTAGAGACCCTCACACTCTTACTTATATGTAAGAGAGATATATATATATATACTTTTATGTATAAAAGTTTAAAAAAAAAGGAAGACATAATTTTGTGATGGAAGACATGTTTTTCATTGCAACATATACTGAATATATACTCACATAAACAAAAAATATACCACCTGACAGGTGCGTGGATTAAGGACTTAAGGAATTCCAACTGCGCACATATACTGAATATATACTAACATAAACGCAAAATATACCACCTGACAACTGCGTGAATTAAGGAATTCACGTTACGAATTAAGGAATTAAATGAGTCAGTTTCTCTCTCTTATGAGTCAGCTATAATTAAGGAGCTACAATTAAGGAGCGTTTTATTTATATGGTTAGTTACATGAGGTATACTTATAATAAAATCCTAGATTTTAGGTATAAATAAAATTAAATTTGTCCCACTAGTAAAAATGCAATATTTTACAATTCTAACGGGATGAGTGAAAATTTCCCTATTTTTTTTCCCTTTCGAAATGGTAGAGGATATCACATCAAAAATAACCAAGAGTTTTATAATCGAAAGGCTAACTAGCCCTAATTACAAGCATATAACCAGAGGATCACAACATCACATGCGCTGTACTCAAATCAGAAACAACAAACTAAGAAAAAAACTTGTTCGTCACTACGCAAATCAAACCAAGCCAAGCACCACAGAAACAAAAAGATATCCAGATGTAGCAGGACTAGTTGAGCCCTTTGGACATACAACAAACAAACATCCCAGAAACCAATAGAACTTTGAGCTAGGATCAGGAACAAAAGACAGCAAAAGCAAGTCAAACATTTCAATCACCACTGAACCAAAAGGATCTAGCATTTAGCAACCCCTGAGTATATAATCCCTCTGCACTCCTCCTCCCAGCAAATTCCGTCCATTCCTTGGTAGTTGCACTTACCAGTGCCCTTTCCGACATGTTGATGTTTTGGAATTTCCATAAGTTCCTTGATTTCCATAGCCGCCAGAGAATATAGATTGTCAGTTGGATTTTTTCCTCTGAACATGGCGTTCTGTCAACAGCACAAACATTCCACCACCACATCTTGAAATTTGAGGTTTCAACATTAAATCCATGGTGCTATTTTCCACACCTTCTTTGCCCTGTCACAGTGAAAGAAAATATGCTCAACAGATTCAATATCATCCCCACAGCTCTGACAGATAGGATCAACATCAAGTCCTCTCTTCTGAAGATTCAAATTGGAAGGCAGCACATTTGAGTAATACTTCCAAATCCTTTGAATTGCAGGTTTCAGCTTTTCTGGCTTTTTTATCTCTATCAGCATTCAGGCTTCCTTTAACAATATCCATCTCCCGGAACTTCTTTTTATTATACTAGTGTAAGTATTGTTCACATAAAAGAGACCGTTGGGGTCTAAAATCCCAGACCCACCTGCCTTTCTTCTTCTGGTCTAAGCTTTGAATTCTGAGCATGGCTTCAATATCAGTTTCTCTAAACAGCTCTTTTAGTAAAGTCTGGTTCCACCTCCTTCCTACCTTTTCCAGAAGTTCACTTACCCACATCATTACCACCACTTCTTAGCAGAGGGCTCCCCTTGGTGTGGTTAAATAACCAAGAATCAGTCCAAATGTTAGTTGAAACACCATCCCTGATTTGAACTTTGAAGTGCATATGATACTTATCCCTCGCAGCAAGCCAATTAGAATAGCATGAAGAAAGGAGTAATTGGGAAAATACCTACCTTTGAGCACCTTACTTACCAAAAGATTTTGTTTTGTAGATATTCTCCAAAGTTGCTCGAGAATCAGTGCCTCATTGAACAAGCTTAAATCTTTTAAGCCTAGACCACCCTTCTCCTTGGGTAGGGTAACCGAATTCCAGGATTTTCAATGCAACCCAGAAGTTTGATCTTTACCTATGATCCACCAAAAATCGGTAATTTTCCTCCAAACCCATTTAGGAAGACTGAAGCAAGGCATGGAGAATACTGGTAGATCATCAATAACAACCTTAATCACCACTTCCTTACTTACCAACAATAGATAAAAAATTTGTCTTCCAGTTCACTAACCTATTTCCGACAGCGTTCGCAACAAAGTCAAAAACTTTCTTCTTAGACCTCATGTTGGGATCTATAAGGATCATCGTAATTGTACAAGTTACAGGTTTATCTACAAATTAACTTATTCACATCGAATCTATAGGTTAGCATAGAAGACTTACTGCTCAAAATTTTGCAGACTTTGAGATGGTGTAGATTTTCGTTGATGGAGATTGGTTGATTTTCCACTTGACGGAAATTGCTTGTCCGAGTCATCGGGAGTCACGTGGCGCTGCGTGCGTGCGGTTGTCGGGAGCATCGGGACGCAACGCGGGAATCTCGCTGGGGTGTTGCGTGCAGGACGGTGTCGCCGGGCGTGCAAACGGGCTTGTGGTGGTCGCCGGTGGTGAGGCGCTCGGTCGGTCGTGGTCGGGTGCTCGACTACCTCGGGATTTTCTATTGAATATTCTAACACCTCTTGAACTCCCTTGGTGGAAAAGAGAATCTAGATCTCTCTGAAGTCTTAAGTGTTTGGGATGTCTTCCAACATAAGAGAGGTGGTGTATATACAAGTTTCAATAGAGACCTTAAGGAGGCATTAAATTGGGCTTACCGTATTTGGACATAACTATGTGCCAAGCCCACTTTGTTCAAATACGAATAATACATTCATTCCACTAAAGTAGTATTATTGAAAATTGAGGTAAGAGAATGAGTGAATGGGAGCTGGGAGGTCGAAGAGGATGAAATTGAGGAAACATCAATGATCGGGTCAGGGAGGAGTCATATCCTTGCCGTAGAATTTGTAGACCCCACTGGAGGTGGCACAATCTAAAAAGGAGAAGAAAAATGGAAAAAAAACTTAGGTTTCCAGAGAATGAGAGTAGGAAAGGGAGGAGCGTTGCAGCCCGAGAATTTGGGGAGGAACAAACATAAACAAAAACAAAATCAAACATGCAAAATTAATAAGGGAAAGGTACAAAATACTTACTCATTGTTGATATCGATGTGGATTACTCAGAAAAGCTTAGGAAATTATTTGCAGGAAAAACTGAGAGCACAAATAAGCTTGAGAGTTTTGTAAAAGTGGGAAACCCGAACAAAGTGGCGAAGAGGCGTATTTATAGGTGGAGAATCCCGAATGCCGATCAACCTCGATTGTTGGATCGAGGTCAAAATCAACGGTCATGATAAAAAGGCAAGTTGAAAAGGCAGTTCGAACAGAACCATTGGATCATGGTCGAAATTAACAAGCAAGATCAAAAGGGGTGAAGTTGAAAAGACATGCCGGGAATAACCGTTGGATTGTGGTCGAAATCAACAGTATCAAGTGGGTCAATTAAAAGGAGAGCAGGGTCCCAACCGTAAAATTAAAGGAAGATTGAAGGGTCACCATTAAAGAAGCATTTAATGGGTACATTGTACGAGGACAGCGCGGATCGCAGGAGGGTTATGTTGACAAGGCGTTGGGACTGACAATCTGATAAGAGGCAGATATTTTAATTTCAAAATTTGAATTCAAGACCTGGAGGGGAAGTTGATATTATTGTTGCAGAAGTGAAGAAAGCACAGGCAGCCAGGCCGAAAAATAAAAGTTGAAACTCACCAAGCAAAATAAAAAACAAAAATCTACTCCTAGATCGAGTTATCTTAACTTGACCAGAAGGGGAGGGAGGGGAACCAGATGACATAGGATTCCACACCAGGTAGAATAAACCTCATAAAGCATCTTGCCGAGACGAGCAGCAAGCAGACGGAACATAGGTACGTGGATGCAGAACAATGAGTTCTCAGGTTGATGAAGACGTTGCAGGCTCAAACGGACACCCATTGGTCAAGTTAGAGCCCTTGGATGTCCTAGTTGAAACTCGACCTGGAGGCATAACTGGTTGACAGATCAACCAGATGGAGAGGACACGCGAGCTCAACCCACGTAGCACTCTACCTCGTGGTGATTCGGATCACACGTACAATTAGGCCGTACTAATGGATAAGAATGAATATTATCAGGATAAGGACTACACGTGGATAGAGCCACGTGGCCTAAAAGAATTCACAGTTCGGGCAGTCCGAAAAGCTCACTCGAGCAGTCTTGGACAATAAGATAACATCTCCTTATATAAAGGAGTGAGGTATGCCCACTAGAACTTACACTCTCCATACTCAGAAAACTCACATACACTGTTACTATTCATCGTCTTCAATGTATGTTCTGACTTAGGCATCGAAAGTTCTACACCAAAAATTCTTCCTACTTTGAGTTTGTGCAGGCATCGAAGGTCATCGACCGGCTAGTAGGCAGATCAGCTCAAACCAAGCCGGTCGAAGATTACATACGCAATTATATACATATTACTATTTACATATTATATTAGTTTATTATTTTTATATTGTATAATTTAATATTATAAAAATATTATACATATTAACTCTTTTCTCTCAAATTAGAAACATTTCCCAAACCAAAATATATCTAATCTAATTGCACAGCCTTAATATAAAATTAAAAAAGAAAAAAAAAAAAAATTCCAATTACACATCGTGTCGGTCAAACGCTTCAGTTAGAATTATTTGTTCTACTGTTACCAATTTACCTACCGAACATCTAACTAATCCTCGTAAGGCGTGCATCTGCAGCTACTAAGGTGTAATAAGTAATAACACTCTCGAATAGGTAAAAGGCAACTCAGCTCGCTGTTCACACGCTCACTCGATTATCTGACACTTGAAGCTCCTCTAGCAAAAAAAAAAAAACACTCTTCTACGCAACGACGAAATTCATCCCTCGAAAATGAGGTCTCAGATTTTCAGATCTGCAAGATCTTTTGTTTCAGCTGCTTCAAAGCAAGCGTCTCGATCATTTTCAGGTAAAAATTTATTGTTCTATGATTGAAAACGGAAAGATTTTTAGTTTTATATTCGGTTGTCTTCTCCCCTCTCATTCATCGTCATGTGGGAACTGATGTGAATTGACTAATTAAAGCTCATATTTTCAGACATGTTTATTGCTGTACATTGATTAATTAATTACCTTTGTGTTTTAATCTAATTCGTATTAATTGGAAGTGTCGGTAGTTGCTATAATTTCGCACATTACATCTGTGGTAGAAGCTTAATAGATTCATCAAATGGAACTTTTGAAAAGAAAGTCAGATGCTTTATTGTTGTTCAACTTTTCTTCAGCTAATATTATGGTTTATCTTCCTTTTCTGCATATTTAGCTTCCATTACCGATATGGAATCCGATTTTAGAAATTCAACGACTATTATCATGAATCGTTAAAAATGACTGATTGGTTTATGTGCTTTTGGTTACTCGATCTAAATAAAAGAGTGTATTTTTCTCTTCCAGGAGGTCGATCTGCAGCTGCAGCTGCTGCAGTTTCATACCGAGGGAGAGTGACGTCACTAGCTTCGATTGGTGCATATGAATCAGGAAACTATGCTGGCTGGATCTCTAGTGCTCTTGCCCTTCCAGCAGCAGGTTCTTGAAAATACACACTTTTCCCTGTTAACAGTGGCCAAATGATTTTTTTTCCTTGTGTATTTGGTACATGTAGTGAGAAAAATAAACTGTGCCATTTTTCTTTCTGTTTTACTGCATAACTCACTCTATTCAAGTGAATCTGTTATTTAAGTTGTTAAGAAGCATTATCCAGATCTTTTAATTAGTGAAATGGGAGTTCCATTTGCATCCATGCCAATGGTTGAATCAATGCTATATGCTATTACTTGNGCCTATTTCCCTGCAAATTTTCAGAAATTACATGCTTCCATACACCCACACTCGTAAATCAATTTTCTTACAAACTATGTTCTATACGAACAACAATGAGTTAACTTTCGGTTGATCTCCCTCAGCTGCTCTTATAGTGAATCTTTTCTTAACCTTCTTTTGCTTAATATAAAATTTATTTGTTGTCCACGTTAGATTTTCTATTCGATTCTTTCATCTTTTGACCTTTGAGCCCCCAAGTTTTGGAAAATAAATCTTAGAATTTTTAATGACCAGTTCTCATTATTTTTGTCCGTCCATTTGTTTAACAGCTTTCATGCTTCAAGAACAAGAAGGATATGCTGCTGAGGTACATATATATATATATCTATTCCTCTGTGGCTTTGTCTTATTCCATATGTCTTGTCTCTAATTGTTGTTCATCCCACTCTGTTGGCTGACTCTATGTACTCGTTCTTTTATAGATGGAGAGGACTTTTATTGCCATCAAGCCAGATGGAGTGCAAAGAGGATTGGTATATATGATCATACTTTTCCCCTTCTCATAATGTCTATTTTTTCTTTTCTGTTAGCCGTCTCTACCTAATGCAAGCGCAAACACTAGTTGCTTACACAATCCCCATATATATAATGGAAAAAGAGAATGAAAATCTATGCTTCAAAGTCTGTCTTTTATCTTAAAGGACACTTGTCGGCCCCGATGCATGTTTGCCTGCATTTTGAAAAATTCTTTCTTGGCTCAGATTTCAGAAATTATTGCCCGGTTTGAAAGAAAAGGTTTTAAGCTTGTGGCAATCAAGATTGTGATCCCTTCAAAGGACTTTGCTGAGAAGCATTACCATGACCTCAAGGAAAGACCTTTCTTTAGTGGGTTGTGTGATTTCCTTAGCTCTGGACCAGTCCTTGCCATGGTTAGAATTGCTCAGCTCCAATCTGCTTTGTCTATTCAAAGATTTAAACTTTATTTGAATATGATGGATCCTTTTTCCACTCCTTTAGGTCTGGGAAGGTGAAGGAGTGATCAAGTATGGCCGTAAGCTCATTGGCGCAACAGATCCACAGAAATCAGAACCTGGGACCATTAGAGGAGATTTAGCTGTTGTGGTTGGAAGGTATTCCTATAACACAAGTTTTAGTTAGTTGTTGCAAGTTGCAACTAAATTCTTTGCTGTACAATATTAAGATATTGGGAGTATATTTCACACTAAGTAATGAAAGAAGTAATTTTCGGCTTTTCATTGGAAGAAAAAACAAAAGAAAAACCTTTTCATTGTTTATGGTTGCTGAATTATGCTTTTGCTTCTGTTTTATTTAACCGAAATTTGAAAATTTGGGTGGGTGATTCAGACTCTAGAATAGTTCTATTATGTTTCTAAAAGACAGTGAAGAAAAGCTGTTAGCTGTTTTTGACATTCATATACTCATTCTTAGTTCTTTTGATTTATTTGTGGTAGTCTTCAGACGAGTGCTTTTGTTCTCTATCCAAAAGCTCATTTTGAAATCACTTCTTTTTTCCCCTCGAGTAGAACTTCGAATTTCTTTCTTTCTTTTTTTTTTTTAATTTTTTAAAAAATGGTTCCTATTTGCAAACACTACCGACATTTGGTTCTCAGTTATTTTAACCTAATGTTAGAATCAACCACTTTTAATAAACTAATGAGTGTTTTGGGACCAATGCCACCATCTCTACCAAATTTAGCATGATATTAGGTGTCCTAGATACAACTTGCTTTTTACTAGCATCATGTTGACCTAATATAATTTTTCTGGATGTTTCAGAAATATAATTCATGGAAGTGATGGTCCTGAGACTGCCAAGGACGAAATCAACCTATGGTTCAAACCAGAAGAGTTGGTTAATTACACACACAATGCTGAGAAGTGGATCTATGGTGTCAACTGACTTACGTATTATTCACGTTATTTGGTTTTTCATCATGTTCAAAAATTCCCTTCTACTAGTTCATATTTGATGAGTTAGTGAAAGCAAAAACAATCCAAAATAATATGCTTTCTCTAGGCAAGTGAATTTTACCAGCTGAGCCCAATACTTCAACTGCTACAATAATGTACTGTCAAATTTCTATTTTACTATGCCACTCAACAAACAATTTTCCTTCTGTTACAGGTCATTGAACAACTTTTAAGAGTTTTCTTTTTCATTCTGTTACAGTATCATGGTTTGGTTGGTAGAATTGACCTATGAGGCCTATTTATTTGATGGTCAATCATGCAGTTTCTAGACCTTCCGGTCTGTAACGGAAGTATGAAACTTCATTTTTATTTTAATGAAAAACAGAAGTTAGCAAAAGGTATTTTGGTGAAGGAACATACTCAGAAATTCATTCAAGATATTATTTCCAGCCTCTTGCACTTTTTTTTTTCAATGAAACTTTGATTTTGGAGGGTTGACATTAGACTATCTCAATTATATAACAAAACTATTTCAGATGAAGTACATTTCCATAATACAAAACACATAATTGTGCATAAATATTTTATATTTGTATTCTTCCAAATTTTTAATAAAGTCACGGTATTTGTTCGGGTACTTAATAGTTGGTGAGATAAGGTATCCTTCCAAATTTTCTAATAAAGTCACGTATAGTATATATATCCAACAAAATTGGTGGAATACGGTATAAACAATTTAATGGATACATCATCAGGCCAAGAGCCGTTTTCAGGACTTAATAGTTACAAACGGAACATGTTAAACGAGTGGATAATATACTAAAATGATTTGATATCACACGTATTATGTACAGCCATTTACATTCATAATGTATAATATTTTGTTTGTGTATGTTCATGATCAAATACTTATATTAAATAAATATGAGAGTTAGCAATGCGTTCAAGTGAAACTCACATATAACAAGCACTTTTATTGAATGGAATGCCTCCAGAAATAATATTTCGAGCTCTTACATTCAGATTCATTGATTCAAGAGCTTCAGGCAGGGAAAAAAAATGTAAGTTCATTTATTAATCAACTCAACACTAATACGAAGGACTTGTTTCATCCCAAAACATGTATGGTCATTTATTAATTGTTTCTGATGTTCAGTACAAAGGCAATTAACAAAACAAAAGTAACATTGCTTGCTCAGGTAGGTATTCAAATTGCATTCTAAATTGAATTTCAGAAAACGGAAGTGCGCGCACTCCGGCTTTGCTTTTCCTAAAATAGTGAGGTCCGGGTCGGTTGATCAATCCCACACGTGATGACCTGAAATGGTCTCACATGTTAAATAAAAGATCACAAGTGAGACAATTGATATTACTGGCGTCAACCAACGTGACGGGGGTGTAGCTCATATGGTAGAGCGCTCGCTTCGCATGCGAGAGGCACGGGGTTCGATTCCCCGCACCTCCATTGTTTATTCCTTTTTTTCCTTTTTTTTGTTTTTGGCCAGTTCATTCGTCACAACCACTCATTCTTCATCCTACATTTCCTATCCCCCGCACTGTTATTTTCTCCACTCTCTCTCTCTACACCATTCTTCAGTTTTTCACCAAAAAAACAAACACATACATGATTCTGTACTGTTGCTTCTCCTCCCCTTCACTTCCCCTTCTCCCTATTCATTATTCCCTCAAACACAGTCGATTCTGCTTCCTCCTTCCCGCCAAGAGCACCCACCGCACAGCAGCTCCGCCCTCAACCCCTCGTGTCTCCAGGAATCTCGCTGCCTCTGCTCAGAATCAGGTATCCAAGACGACCGACGGAGGGGGGTTTAGAGCGTCGGAGCTTCTCGATGGCGAGCTACTGGGTCAGGTTTCGACCGCCGGAGATGCGGCCGAGGCGCTGCTTCTCATTGCGGAGGAGCGGCGAGGTGGCGGCGTCGTGAGTGTTTCTGACTGTCGTTTGATTATCTCGGCGGCGCTTGATCGTGGCAACGCTGAGCTGGCACTCTCCGTGTTCGCCGCCATGCGCGCGAGCTTCGACTCTGGTGCGTTTGAGATTTTCCTCACATTATTACATTTGGGTTGGATGGAGTTTTTGAAGTTACATTGAATTCATATTCTATTTGACGGTATTTTGAGATTTCCTTGTTGTTGGACTTGGAACTGATAGAATGAGGGGTCATTAACAAATTGCTGTTATTTTCAATAAATTTTTAATGACTGTTTTGTTGTGTGGTCCTTTAGATGTTTTGTTCTGGCTAAAAGTCTTTGTTATATGCCTTTCTCGATCCACGTTTGAATAAATGTGAAATTCCCGTGTTGAAAGGATATTTGAGAATCATAGTAGAGTATGTTCTCTTAACCTTAATCTTTGATGTGATATCTTTTTCTATTTTTATTTTTGGAGTTCGGAATCACTTTCACAATAACTATGCATTCAAATAGATGGCAGATGACAATGCTAGTAATCATAGCATCACCGTTTATTTCCCCAGGGAAGATCAATTACATGGTGGAATATATCTTTTTATGCAAAGTTTCTTTTCTTTGGTTTGGGTTTCACATAATTTAAGTTCATCAAGTCAACATTTTGGAATGCTCTTCTTTCCTTTATTTATCCTTTGTTCTTTTTTCTCTAACCTTTTGTTTTTTCCTCTTGGAATTTGACCTTTCTCTGAAAGCCCAGGGTGGGTTGAGAATTCAACTTCCGCTGAGAAATGGAAGTGGTCAAGACCTGATGCGCATACCTATACATTATTAGCCAAGGGGCTTGCAGCGTCATTAAGGGTTTCAGATGCCCTTAGAGTGATTGACTGTGTTTGCCGAGTGGGAGTGTCTCCTGGTGAAGAGGTAGTCTCTATATGATTTAAGTATGCGAATGTGATTATTGTTCCAATTGTAACTTTGGCACTTTCTAGATGCTGTCTGACAACTGAATTGCAATGAAGTTTGATAATTTTTATGGTTATGTTAAAAGGAACGTTAAAATGAACCTACTTAGTAGTTGATATGCATGTTCTTATTTCGTATCCACGCTTTAAAACCTTTATAGTATACGTCTCTTCTGTTTTTTGCATCCTTATGACTCCTGGAGCAATTAAGAAGCCATTGAGCACGCATAAGCATTGATGTAGGTATCTTTTAAGTTTTTCTTTTCTTTTTTAAAAATGTTATTGACATTATAATTTGGTGATACAGAGAACACATGGTTTTTATCCAACATTTTCTCTCGAACGACCCTTGTTTTACAAATTATGGAATAATCTGCAATCTTTTTCTCATATGTTCTTTGTTCCTGAACTAAATTTTATTGAATATATATATGTGTGTTTGTGTGTGGTTGTTTTGGTTCTCGTTTTCTGATTAATGTGTAGATTTTATCTTGCTATCTAACTGAGTGTGATGCACTGTTCTGATGATAAAAGTAAATGTTATACCCAAAATTGTTGTTTTATTCACACCAAGCTACCAACAAGAATTAAGTGCTGTTTTGCAGGTACCTTTCGGTAAGGTTGTGAGATGCCCTAGTTGTATGATAGCTGTTGCTGTTGCTCAACCACAACAAGGCGTTCAGGCATGTGCACTCAATCTCACTCGTTGGCACATATTCTTTAAAATTCTGGAACGCGTTAAACATAAATATAGTGGCCAGATCAAGACTCCAATCTTATCTGAGCTCTTTACTTATTGCGATGGGATTGATTGAAGAAGGTTACTTGTTCAATATGTCAAATAATTATTGGAAGTGCTTCTTTATTTATTACTGATTGGTGTAACATAAAGTTGGGCCATCCATTATCACAAGAAGTTTCATGACTTAGAGGGTGTACAAATTTGGTAACTCATAATTCTTTATGACTTACAATAAATTCACATGATATGTCGTGTTCATCATTATTTTTCGCATATTGTGGCTGTTTAATGTCATTTCTGCTACTAATACGTGTGCCAAAAATTGCAGCTTATTTCCTGCTCGAAATGCCGCTACCAGTATGAACTAGTTTCAGGAAACATTCTGAACATAGATTCGGAAGAAATTAGGTAAGTTATTTTTCTGTTTGTTACCCCTTTTTGTTACAAATCGGATCTGTCTTGATTGGTGCTAATTGCGAAGGACCTTCAGTTACTGACAAATCCAAAGTCATTACACACATCTTTAGTGACTAGACGTGTTCCATTTCTTGTTTCAGTCGAGTATAACAGTATAATGTATAAGGTGTTGATCCTGGGATATTCGCTTGTTCTAAGGATCTCCTCCTGCCGAACGCAGCATGGAAGTCCCTGCATGGAGACGAGGGCTACAGTTTCTGCAAATAATGAAGCAAAACATTCCAGCTGCCGTGCACTCCATTGTGGTACGCATCTCTACATGATCTTTCGAAAGTTTGGACTTGTATTTTATCTGTGTTTGTGTGCTTTTCATTCCCTGATTGCTCCTTCCTACATGAATGTCAGTTATGTTTATTATCACTTTTTTTTTTTTTCAATTACCAAACAAAAAAGTCCAGTTTCACAAATGTGTTTAAAATTTTGTTCAAGAATGTCCTTGTCATACCATTTGTAATCTCGAAAGAAACCTCGATTTGATTTTATTTCATTATTGTTATTATTTTTGTGTAGTTTGATCAAATCTCAAGACTACTGTTTCTAATCATGCCATGATGTCACTGTTCACAGGCTGCAACTAAATCAATTACTCTACTTTCTAGGTGGAAACCCCGTCTGGCTTGGCAAGAACTCACAGGTTTGCAACTGAAACAGTTGATCTTCCTGCTCAGGAAGGAGAAAGAGTGACTGTTGCTGTAGCAGCCCCATTAAGTGCTTACAGGGAAGTTGGCCCTTTAAAGTTTAGTCCACGAGTTCCCAGTTTCTACCCTGGGGAGCCCATGTGTCTCACCAATCATAGGGATGGTAGAGAATCTCGATTGCTTAGAGCGCCTGCTAAAGATGTGGGCAAGTCCTTGCTGAGTCCATCCATCTTATTTCCAATTATTGCTGTGTTTGCAACTGGGGATGCTGCCTCGGGAATAGTTGACCCTAGTTTGCCTCAGTTGATTGCAGTTGCTGTGGCATCTTCAGTTGCTGTTGCCGTGACATTTAATAGTTTCGTTCTTCCACAGCTCAACAAGGCAGGTCCTTCAGAATTGGTGTTTGCTGTTTTCATACAAGTCTGGTAGAATGTGAAAACAAAATGAAGTGGATAAATATATTCACTTTCAATTTTGTATTGTCATGTAAAAAAAAAAGTTAGTTGGATTACGAAGAAATGTTTTGGAAAAATCATACATTTGTCATAACTTAAAAGTTATACCTGTATTCCTGAACCTATCAATGCAATTGATCAACATTTTACATTAGAGATTGATTTGGTCGGTAGTTTTCTTTTGTAGGAAGTTTTTCTTGGCACATTGTATAGAAACCTTACGGTCGGTATCGAACATAATAACTAGGAAAAGAGGACATTCTTTGCGAATTTCAAGTATTTTTCAGAATTCCGGTTTGATGGATCAGTTTTGAGCCTAGAAAAGGAAATGTGAGTGTACCTCAAGTAATTTACTAGGTCTGGAGTTTTCTTTCTGTATTTCAAGGCTGGAGTGTAACTTCTGCTTATATTATAATGATATATGCATTCTGTGAGTTTCTTGAAGTTGGACATGATTACTTGTTTTTTCTTTCTCGAAGCCAGCTTCCTCAAAGATCAGTGGATATAACATCTGTAAGGCAGCAGCTGTTATCTCAGTATGATGTACTTCAGACCCGCATCAAGGAGTTGAAGAAAGCTGCCGAAAATGAGGTTTTACTCTGGAAATATTGATTGTTCATGGTTAACCTTGGTTTTGGTGATAGAATATATCATTTTGATTTTGGGTTTATTCATATATAAATGAAAGTAACATCAAACATTTTCGTCTTCTGTTCAGCTTTGTTGTCCCTAGTTTTTGGGGCACTTTGTAGAACTTTGCAGAGTTCGAATCATTTTTTGTTGCTATTAAGTATTAAGGAATCACAATCTAATGATCTTTCTTGCTAAACTTCCTCTATGCTTCCTATTATATCCATTATCCTAACTAAAATGAGTTGTGTACATAAGTTCGTACCCTTTNTGCAAAAAGTAAATTGAATGGATCATTGAACATAATGGTGCTCGAAAAATTTCTCGGTTCGCAGGTTTGGATGCTAGCTCGCATGTGGCAGTTGGAGAACAAAATTTATGCTGTTGGAGAACCTTCTTACCGGTACACACTCTACTGTAGAAAATCTCAATTTTGTGTTTAGATTTTGACTGAATAGACCATTATCCCGCTCGTTCACTTATAAATGCATTTTGATCTTTAAATTTAGTGCTAGAAGAAATAAAGTCAAAAGGGTACGTGAGGGTTTAGAGAATTCCCTCGAGAATCGGATTGAACTGATTGAAAGCTATGCTAGGGTAAGTCATCAATTGATCAAAGAGCGTTAATCCTATATAAGAGAAAACAGTAATTTGAATTTCATTAGACATAGTTTTACAAACATCTAGTAATTATGCTCTGTTAACAATTTTCAGATTTCTTCCATGATCGAAATTGAGGTAGAATTGGACTTGGATGTTCTTGCTGCAGAAACTGCCAGTAGCTCAGTACGTTTCATCTGCCTTTTTATCTCTTCCATTTTCATTTTCTTTTTCTTTTTTGTTAATCAACTTAAACCCAGAAAATAGCTTTAGCAGTTTATTCGACATTGGTTTATGTTGCATGCAGGAAAACATTGCTCAACAGATTCAGCAAATCATGGAAATTGAGAATCTTGAAGAGGCAAGTGATATTTTTATTCATTCACTTCCATACAAAAGAAAAATATGCACCCATCTCTAACCCCAAAATTCTCCTATGAATAGCATAAAAAACTAATCCAACTTTTATGCAAGACCTTTTGGGTCATTTTGACAATTTTGCCCTTTCAACGTAGCAGAAATGGAGACTGCAAGCCGAGGCTAATGATGAAGCTGAACGACTTCTTAGTTCTCTTTCTGAACAGGTTCCAGAGAGGTAGTTGCTGCCTCTTGTTCCAATAATTATTTGACCAAATATCATTTGTCTTAATGATTTTTGGGATGTGGCATTGGAATTGTTGACCAAGCTTCACATTTACACTTCACTTTTAAATGGTTCTTATTTCCTTCGGAACAAAGGATCGACTGCAAATCGAATGATCAAGCACGTGCTTTCCTTTTCCACTTTTTGGGTATATTTTGATTTGGAAATTTTAAAGTCTTCCTTCTTTCTCTGTAATATAATCATGATTCGTGATTATGTTAAAGGCGTCTTTTATGCATCATCGTTTGACTTTATCGCCATTTTATTGTCTACACATTATCTACTGTACGAGGTAATAATTGAGTGTCGCGTGTACAACTGTGATGACATCTTCTACATGCTTCGTCTATCAAATGTGATATTCTTATTTAAAGCAAGAGTTAAAATATATAAATGTATAAATGACAGAGTTAAGAAGATAGCAAATTATTTGTTTAGTAATACCACGTTTGAGAAAGTTATCCCTTTGACATATAAATGTATAATTTTCAACTCTACGTGCAAGGACGTAGTCAAAAATATTTTTCATTTAGGGTTGCTATATGTATGAATTGAGCTATTAGCGAACACTGATTTAATTCGGTCTGTAAAACCTTGAGTTCGATTTTTTTTTTAATCAAATGATTGAGTTCGATCAATTAATTGAGCTCGTTTATTAAACAAGTGAGCTCGACTCGTTTCGTATTAATTATACGGTTATGTTCGATTAACTAATTGAGCTCGACTCGTTCATATTAATTGGAGTTAAGTTCGATTAACTAATTGAGCTCCTTACTTAATAAAACATGAAACGAGAACGAACTTAATGAAGATTTAATTACTATTGACTAAATAAAACATAAAATAGAACCAATGACTTTCTATCTCAGTATATTAAATAAATTATTTAAGCCAAATATGATCACTTTTATTAAATATACTTGTTATCATATGTCACCTAAATTTTGGAGGTTGACATATACATTTAATTGAATATGAATACAAATGATTTGATTTAATATTCTCTCAACAAAATTTCTCAATATGAAATTTATTTAACCAAACAATAATAAAATTAAATGAAGAATAAAAATGATAAATCTATTACTATATAATAGCAATAAGGAAATTAAAAAAGAATGAAAATCTTGCCAAAAAAATTCGTTTATACTATTATTGGTAAGTTTTTTCAAAAAATTTCATTAATCCCGCTTTTGACAAGTTTTTGAATTTTAAAAATTCAATGTGCAAAATTCGGCCAAACCAACTAAATTAGGATAACAAGTTTGAAATTGTGTAAATCTCCTTAAAGTTTGAAAAATTATTTTGTCCATATTTATCCAACTAAACAATATTTTTAAAGTTGTAAAGAACCCCAAAATGATTAATATTTGTTTGTCCATATTTAACTAATAAAATGATATAAAAATATTTACAAGAATCCTCCATTTTTATCCGTTGATCCTTGAATTTAGATATTATGTTTGTTCAATTAGAAATCATTATTCTTAATTAAGATATCTTATTTTTCACAATTGTTCATTGCCGAAAAAATTCCTCAGTTATCCCAAAAGATCCGCATTCTCAATATGACTCTTGTTTAATCCTAAAAACGTTGTAAATTATTAAAAAGGAAAGTATATGTGATATGCTTAAAATTCTGATTATTTTTTATTTCAAATTCTTGTTTTTATTATGCTTTTGTTAGTTGGTGATATATATATATTTTTTTAAATAAGATAATGTTGTTCAAACCTTCGATCAAAATCTTCTAGAAGTCAATAATTTAGTTAAAAAAAATACTTTACAATTCATATGTAAATAAATTTATTAGTCAAAAATTAATTAATATAAAATTCTAAAAAGTATTTATCTATCTATCTATTAAGATATAAAAAAGGTGAAAGAATTATCTAAAATAATATTTATCCAGCTTAGAATTTTGGTTTTTAATAGTAATTTAAAAAAATCATAAATTTCCGCCCAAAGTACATTTGATGACTTTTAATAAAATAAATTTGAAATTCGGCGCAAATCGGCTATATTAAATTAGTCAATATTTGTTTGTCTATATGTATCTAACAACAAACTCTTTTGAAAGTTTGGAAAAACTCTCATATTCTTTTAAAAGTTTGGAAAGACTCTTTTGCCCAAAGTACATTTTGAAAGTTTGGAAAGTTTGAAATCCATGTGTGTAATTATTTTTTTTAAAAAAAATAGATCGCTTCATTTAAAAAATAATTTGCTTATGTTGGTTACTACCAATCTTATTATTAAAAAAAATGTCGATTGTTCAATCTATTAAAATATAAAGAGACAATCCTATTTACCTTAAATAATATGAAAAAAAAAATCTCTTAAATTCCCACTCAAAAATTTCAAGACTTGCTAAACTTGGTAATTTTGTTTGAAATCTTTGAAAAATCACGCCTAAATGTGTGTTGAAATTCTTAGGAAAAAATTTGAACTCAAACATTTAAAGGAAATGATCAGGTGCAGATTTTTATGGGTATATTATTTATATTAATATGAATGGGTCCGCGAACTAATATATTTTTAAAATAAAGTTAACAAAAATTATAAGTAACAAGCCCGTTCATGCATCGCACGTAATGCTAACTATTTAAACTGCAACGACAATACAATCCTATGAAAAGACTAAAATCATATTTACATATATATAATTTATTGCTTAATTTAAAATAAATTTAAAACAAGGTTAAATAATTTTATAATTTATCATAAATATAAATATAACACATTACATATATAGGAAAAACAAAAAAATAAGGTTAGGTTGGAGTCCAGCCAACCCAGCCTTGGCTACTCCCATATCTACGTGTTAAAATTTGGTACTTCATAATTCTATATCTTGTCAAATTTAGGTACTTTATAATTTTGAATATTAATTTTTGTTCTTTGGGATAATACATATATATTTAGGTTTTTAGGTTAAGACTTTAAAAATTATAAAACACTTGAGTAATTTAAATGATATATTATTTTTATTTGTTACTAAGATTTCAATTTGACATTCATGTAGCATATATCGACTAAAAAACAATTATTAATTTAATAAAACTATTTGTGAGGCCTATTTAGTACCAATTAATACAACAAACTTATATATAAACCCTTTTAAATAACATTATAGAAGTATTTAAAATTTAAATATAGCTTTACTTTTTACAAAAAAAACTTGATATGTATGATTTTTTTAATTAACACTTATTATACAGGTGTTCTACTATAAATTAGTTTATATTATAGGATTAAAAATAATAAAAATTTAATAGGATTAAATATAATGGTGTTGGTTAAGAATCTTAACAGCGATTTGTGTGATAAAAGGACAACATGAAAGTCGTAAAAGCTACCGCAAATTAGGTGCTGCAATGACAGCCTCACCACACTAGCGCTTTTGCTCCACGCAATCTCTCGGATATATCATTCAACGGCTTCCCACCCAAAAATAAAAAAAAATAAAAAAAAAAATAAAAAAAAAAAAAATCAATCATTCAACGGCTTCCACAACCTTCTATTTACCGTGGAAAGTTGGAGAAACCCAACTAACATATTAGCAATGAATATTCGGATTTTGGAGACGTATATTAGCTAATAAAATAAATTAAACCTCAAACGAGATTTGTGTGGTCCATAATCTAAGGAGTCTTCCACAGTTCCACTACACGTAAAGTAGTTTCAACTTTCTAAGAGCATCTCCAATGTTATGGTGTTGAAAGGCAATAATTTTTAACACATGTCAATTGATGATTGTAATGTTAATCCACATAAGAATAATGTTAAAAGGCTAAAAATTTGAATCAAACTAGTATCTCCAATGCACCAATTTGATAAGAATTTATTTGTATAGGTGGACCAATTATAATAATTCATTAATACAAGAATAATAAAAAATTAAACCAAATATAAAGTGAATTAATGAGTCATCATGTTTAACATGGTGTTAGATATTAGAAAGTGAGTTCAACATTGTTAACATTAAATGCCATCCACATCATCATGAAAGAGCTAATGACAAGATGCATTGGAGAATAAATTAGTAATAAACTTTCAAAAGTTGATGATATGGATTATTTTTTGCAATGTCAAAAGTCACATTGGAGATGCTCTAACGGTAAGTCACACAGATGTGAAGCCCACATGTATGACCACTCAGTTAATTTAATTTTAACTTTTATATAGTTTTTGATGAGTCGGTTTGACCAATTTTCTTTCTTACTTAAATGTGAAGCCCACATGTATGAACACTCAATTAATTTTAACTTTATATAGTTTTTGATCAGTCGGTTTGACCAATTTTTTTTATTACTTAAATGTGACGTTTGTCAAAATATTTTATTATTGGAAAAAACTACTTGTCTTTTCATGGAATGATTATGAGAGTTTTTAATCATGAATCATTCACAATAACTAACTTACATGTATATCTTAATGCTAATAACTTTCACGAAATTATTGACTGAGATTGTAGTATTTTTCTTTATTATTATTATTAATTTTTTCGCAGGTAGATATTTTGTCATTTTGCAACTATTTATCAATTGGGACTATCCCTAAGACCACCCACAATGCTTTGTGTCTCTTTAAAAAAAAATCACATGTCATGTAAGAAATAGTCATAGTTTATAAAAAAGTGTTTCACAATGCAATTAAAAGTGAACCTAGTCTAACTTATGTGACAATAAAAAAAAGAGACTAAGTCCACTCTTGGGTCTATTTTGGACCAAGTGTGAACCTTACAATAGCAATTATTTACTATTATTATATTTTTATTGGTTGTTAGGTATTCTAGACCTAATACCTTTTTTTGCATTGGATAGATTTTGGATGTTTTAACTTAAGTTTGTTCATGTCACTATAGACTTAAGTCTATTTATTTGCCACATATACAAAAAGAGACCCAAAGCACTGTGGGTGCTCTAATAGTTGACTGTTTTATTTGTGACTGTTTATATTATGAGACATGATTGATTCGAGCCATAATTTTAAGCTAGTAATTGGCCTAGTTTAGCCCATAATCAACCCTAAGACTTGTTTGATTCCAGCCATGCTTTCAAGCTAATAGCTAGCCTAACTTTACAAATAATCAAGCCTAACTCTAAGCCCAATTTTTAAGGGCATGACATTTTTTTTCTTTTCTCGCCAGAATAAACACCTCATTTTTTTTTTTTACGAATCAATATAATTTATAGAAAAACACATGAATACAATTAGAACACAACTAAAAAAGTCAAACAACTATCTAGTTGAATCTAGTAGGAGACACTGGATTCGGAGCCTAGAAAGACTACACTAACTCACCCACAAGACAAACCCTAACTAATAACTCTCTAAATGGGATAAAAGCTCCTACAAAAGGAGAATAAGCTCCTAACAAGAAGAAAACACCAAAAGCACAAAAAAAAATAAAAATAGAAAAACTAAATAGAACAAAACAACACAAACTAAATAGAATAACACCCTCCTTCCAACCGGCGAAAGAAACCGCACACGCATCGCCCCGACACTCAGAGATAGACGCCCACACGGATAGCACTCTGGCCCGAATACCAAACCAAAAACTCCAGTGAACCACGGGTAGTTGGAACCACATCAGACAACCGCAATCTTCTCCGGACGGACCACCCCTTGACCGACAACAGGAGGACGAGTCAGCCCAGACCCACCCCCTCAATCGTCTCCACCAAAAACCTCCGATAGGTTGCGGCCACGCAAGCCGGAAGCCCGACAAGGCCGACCGACCAAGCAACAACACAAAACAATGACATAGCCGTAGGGGAAAAGGGGCAAGAGCTAAACCTCAACTCCAACCGGCACTGAGAAGCCAGCCTCGCCGCGTAGCCCCAACTCGGCGCCTCTGGAACCGCTAGAAGCAAAGGCAACCTTATTTCTTCCTCAAACTCAACATCCTTAAAAATACTACATTTCTCATCTCAAATATAGATCTTTAGCGGGATCAAAAAACTTAAAAGCTTTGAGCTTAAGAATGTTATTGGTACCAGTGTTCTAAAAGTTGCTAGGCGCTGGCCTAGAGCGACTAGGGCGTCTAGTCGGGGCCTAGAAATCAATATTAAATATCTTATTTTTTATTTAACTATCTCAACTTATAATAAATCCACAAACCTAAGTTCAAATAATAATATTAATATATTTTAAAGAAAACATGAGAACAAAATAATGTAATTAGTATTAAAAAAAATAAATAAAAAAAAAACTGAAAAGTCTCCGCCGAGCCCGTCTAGGAGTGCCTAGGTCCGCCTATGCCTGTCTAGGCGCCGCCTAACTGCCTGGTCGCCGAGTCCGCAAAGTTCGCCTAGGAGCGCCTAAGACCGCCTAGCCGTTTGGCCGATTTTTTCGATTGATTTATGAAAATTAGAGGCGGCCGAGCACCGCCTAGGCCGATTTTTAGAACAAAGGTTGGTAATAGTAAAGATAGAAGATAATGAGTTAAATTTGAGTTTTGATTAGTATTTTTAGGTGAGTTGATATCCAATCACACCCTTAGTGTTATAGCATGCT